TTTATTATTAATTATAAGTTAAATATGATTAATTTATAATTAATCCTAATTTAAGTATAATTAATTATATAATAAATGTAATTAATTATAATTAATTTTTAATTAATTATAAATTATGTTTAATTAATTTGTAATTAATTTTAAGTTAAATATAATTAGTTGTAGTTTAAATATAACTAATTATATTTAATTTATCACTAATTATAAGTTAAAAAAAATGATTCTTTTCTCGTGGCTTGCAACGGGACGGCAAACCCCCTACGCGCTCACGTAGCGTTGTAGGGAGGGAAACCGGCGCGGCGCTTGCGGCGATTTAAGAATCCCTCTTCAATGTTAGCAACGAGCTGTCAAACCCCCTACGCGCTCAAGTAATGTTGTAGGGAGGGAAACCGATGCGGTGCTTGCGGCAAAGGGGATATAAGAATAATATTTTCTTTATTCTTATATAAGTACCTCCGAACGTCACGTAGTGAAGAGGGGGGAAATTTGTGCTTATTTCTAACATGTGCTTTTCTTTTTGTAACAAAAAAAATCCTTAAACGCTCACGTAGCGGGCGGGGATAAAAAAAATTGCAACCGCGGTGTAATTTTGACACCTACCTGAAGCGCTCACGTAGCGTCGAGGGGAAGGTTGCCTCTTGGTTTTTACCCCTAAACGGGGAGACGCCGAGAGGCAGCCAAAATTTGGATTGAAAATCCAAGGACTTTAAAAATGTTGAATCTTATTTGGACACTAATTTGGACATCAATTGAACTAAATTAAAACTTGAATAAGCAAATGGCTCAAGCAAAAACTCAAACAAGAATTTGTGTAAGACTTGAGTTGGACTCAAGTTAACCTAGACTTGGAATCAATCGAAGTCAAATTTGAACTCAAATGACAATGAGCTTGGTACAAGAAGTCTGAACTTAGACTTGAACGATATGGACTCAAATTCAAATGAATAAGACCATGCTTGAAAATGAACTTGAACTCAAGTGAACTTGAGCTTGACTTGAACTTGCAAGGTGGACAAGAACATGAGAACTTGAACCGAACAAAGACTACTGAGGACTTGGATTGAACTTGCACA